GGGGGGCGAAGAGGGGGCGGGGCCTGGGGAGGGGGTGTGGCTGGGGATGCCTGGGTAGGCTGTAGGGGCGTGGCCCCATCAGAGGGCGGGGCTTAGGGGAGAGGGTGTGGCCCAGAGTCCGGAAGTGGGCGTGGTCTGATCAGAGGGGTGGGACATAAGCTTGGGGGTGGAGCCCACCTGGACTGGGCGGGGAATGCTGAAAGGGGCGGGGTCTGCTGGGGTGGTGGGGGATGGGCTGAGGCTGTCACCGCTCTGGCCCCTCCCTCCTCCAGGTGTACCTGAGCCCCAGCTGGGCGGTGCTGCCGGGGCGTGGCCGCTGGGGCCGACTGAACAACGGGCGTGGCTATGGGGCGGGGCTGCTGGCGCTGCTGGGGGCGGGGTCTCTGGCCCCACCCCGCGTGCGCGCGGCCGCCGCCCCCCTGGGCCCCGCGGGGCTGCTGCTGGCGCTGCTGGCGCTGCAGGCCGGGTCCCTGCGCCGCGCCCTGCCCGGCGACCCCGCCCGCGCGTGAGTGACACGCCCCATCCCCCATGCAAATGAGATGCTAATGAGCGCCTCGGCTGACCCCTGCTGTCCCTCCCCTCCCCCCCAGGCTGTGCCTCCCCCCCCACCCAGGGGAACCCCTGACACCCTGCGCCCCCCCCGCGCCCCCCAACGCCTCCCGCGGTCCTCCCGGCCACCAGGGGGCGCTGCCCGCCCTGCCCGGGCCCAGCGCCCGGCTGCTGGCAAGTGAGTCCTGCAGGGGGCGGGGCCAAAGGGGCGGGGTCACCACGAGGTCATAGGAGGGTCACAGAGGGGTCACGGAGGGGTCATGGAGGGGTCACGGAGGGGTCACGGAGGGGTCACAGGGAGGTCAGAGGGCGTGGGGTCATCCCCGGGTCATAGGGTGGGGGATGGGGGTGGGGTCACCCAAAGGTCATGGGTGGGTCACGGGGGTCACAGGAGGTGATGGGGAGGGGACAGGGTGGGGTCATTGTGAGGTCATGGGGAGGGGGAGGGGCCGGGGGCGTGGCCTCACCCGCTGTCCCCCCAGGGAACCTGTGGCCCCGCCCCCCTGAGGTGGGGCAGGGGGCGGGGCCAGAGCAGGAGGAGGGCGGGGCCGACGCCTCCTTTGGGGCCCTGCTGGGGCTGAGCCTCCCTTCGGCCTCCGGTGAGAATGGGGGGCACAAACGGGGGGGTGGGGGGACCCGAAATCGCGGGGAGAGACCCCAAAGTGTGGGGGGGGACCCCAAAGTGTGGGGGGACCCCAAAGTGTGGGGGGACCCCTAGGCTGGGGGGGATCCTGAACTGCGGAGGAGTTCTGGGTGTGGGGACATCCCATAAATGGGAGGGACCCGAACTGGAGGGGGGATTTGAGGGCTCAGGGGGATTTGGGGGCTCCCCAAGGGGGATTTTGGGGATCCCAGAAGGGGATTTGGGGTCTGGGGTCTGTCCCAGGGGTGCTCTGGGGGTGCAGCCGCTGCTCCGAGCTCGGGGACGTCGCTCGCTCGGTGCCGGCCGGGAGCCTCGGGGCCGCCACGGCCACGGCCCTGGGCTGTATCCGACCCCAAAGGGGACCCCAAAATGGGGGGGTGGCTCTGGAGTCTTGGGGACCCCGGGAGGAATTGGGGGGGGGGGGGGGG